CTAACTTCCGAGATTATATTCATGATATCAGTCAGATAAACTCGTAGGTTCAAAAAGTCTTAATATAATATGATAAAAACCCTATAACCCGAGCGTTTTCGAAAGTCGGACCATTTTTCTTCAGGGGCAAACTGAGATTACATGTAAGGACACAATTGCAACAGTATTACAGCTCATGTATCATTGGTAAATCCTCCCACCACCCCCAACAAAAGAAATATCCCTCACAGTTTACGAGTATAACGAGAAAGTGATTATAATCTTTATGAAGATGTATCGAAACGACACTGGCAACTTTTTAAATTAAGCACTGAACTCGTAAGCTCCGACATCCATAACCTGGCTGTTTCCTACTGGTGAGAGGGGAATATATATGAATTCGTGATATCAATAGCCGACGTGTAGTTTACAGTTTGACATACACAGAACGATCACAACTGTCATCAGTGTTTCAATACCAGTAAATATGAATGGCCCAAACCACTGACTGCCAGTCCACAAAATTGACTGTTTAGACAGGAAATTGGTTAATATTAAACAATATAATTCGAAATAGAAATTATCCCTTAAATAATACCAGTCTACATTTGCATGCAAATATCAAAAAATGAGATCATACTGAGAGTTAATTACATTTTATAAGACCTTTATTTTCTCGATCACCAATAGTAGTGAATCCGATGTCCATGATCATATACTATTGTTCTAAGCCACAATTTTCATTGTAACAATCTTTTGTAAAGTAGAGAGATGTTAACTTTAGGACACACATCATGATAAACTTTCTACAGACTTTCTACTGTAATGGACGTTAGTTTTCAAAGCCACATTTAAGTAGATCAAAGGCATAGAATTCCACTGGGATTTCACAGGTATGTGGTCAAGTGGAATTGGTATGATTCTATTTTTATAAATCATGAAATCAGCCACTGATTTTGAGGCATGGCTGGAATGAAACTTCTTAACTTCAAACCCTTGATTATGATTTTGTTAATGATACTAGAAGATATATCCAGCTTCACTGCAACAGCATTTTGGGTTGGAAGGGTTCTCTTTCAGAACCACAGAAGATGAAAGTGTTGCTTTAGATTGGCTGCAAGCCTGTTGCTGTTATAAATGCTCGAATGTGCAAGTTTTTCTGCTTCCACAGAGAATATTGGGTCTCCTTCTTTAAAATGCTGTGTCTTTTGGTTCTATATCAGTTAACAATTTCATTCTCTGAACAGTCTTTCTCAGAAAGGGATTTAACTGTTAATAACAAACCTTTTTTATGAACCAAATATAGAGGTATTAAACAGGGTACCATGGCTCAAGTCTGAAGCAACACAAAACTGCAATAGCATATGTAGTTGTCCTTATAAAGAGCAATTAACCCTTTGTACTGATAGGTTGTTCTCTTCTCCTCCATAATTAGTGACATTAAATAAGCAGATTATAATAAACTAAAATAATGATTTACCCCTTACAGTATATTTGCCATATAATTCCATGAGAACTAAATCTACATATTTAGCTTTTGACCAATGGGTATCAAAAATAATTTAAAACTTGTTAAATTTCTTATATAAAAATATAATTTAGCACAAATATTTTAGAAGCTAAGAAAACTTCAGACAATAAAGACCTTACTCTTATCAGCTTTTCCAATGAATGTGCATGAACACACACACACACAGTGCAAAGAATGCTCTAGTAAATGTCTGAACAAGTTTTGTAGGTAGTAACAGAAAAACAGTGGTTTTAATCCCATATTCAAAGAAATTATTTCTCAAAATCTACTTGTCCTAGTGGAACTAAACTCTCCAGAGGCACATTGAGAATCACAAACTTTATTCAGAAAAGTTTGGGAAAGGTGCAGTGTTTCAAAAACTGTTACAGGAAGTGTTCCATATGGTTTCTGTCACTATCAATAAGCATAAAGTCTGTGTCTTAAATAAAGCTAGTACAAGTATTATCTGTTCTGGATAGCATTTATTTATCCTCATACTTTTTCACTTTTAAATGGCCATTTTCAGATCCTTAAATTTTGTAGAATGTTCTATTTGTCATTCTTTTTAAGAAAAACCTCCACAGCCAAATATATGCTAGATTAATGCCTGGAAGTGAGTGTCCAAAAGCCTTTTGACCAAAGTAAAACTGCTATTATTTGATACCACAGTCACGCTATTCTAAACACTGATATGCAAGTCACTAATTTTGTATTGTGGAGAGAAAAAGAGAAATGTCAATTAACAGGATGAGTGATTTAGGTACACAATACAATATGGTTTATACCCTTCCCCACTCTAGAACAAGTATTTTCTTTGATTTTAATCATGTTAAATATGAGGTCTTTTTTATGCTCCTCCCTGCACCTTAACTAATTCGTTGATGTTCATTAAAACAAAATCTTTCAGTTTTTAGTATATTATCTAAATTTAAAATTTGTATTTTATTCTATTCTTCATTTGGCTTTTAACTTTATTCAGGCAAATACTGTTCCTTGGCACAAATAATTAGGGTTAAAGTTCTCATATTAAATTTTTTTTCCTATTAATGCCTAATTTTTTGCTTTGTCTGCTTTATTATTAATTCTTAGATGAATTATACAAGTTTCTTTAAGATATGTTTTCTGTCTGGATGTCAATTAATAACATATGAAGTTCAGTCTCAAAATAGTAAAATTTAGGGAAAAGTTTCAGGTCTTATTTATCCTCAGCATCACAGCACAAGATATGTTATGTTCTTACAATGCACAGTAAATGTATTTGGTATTATATACAAAAGCCAGAATCTAATAATGAACCCAAGAACTCTCAAATTAAGTTAAGTTAATATGAAGGTCCAAACTCCACATAATAATTTTCAATTTACATTTTTTACAGATGTGTATGTATGATTGAATATTGTTTCCCATCTTAGCAACTTCCTGAGCTTATCCTAGATCTTGCACACTGTGCCTCATTTCAGCCTTAATGGTTTCCAGCATCTCTTACTAAACACTTAAAATATACAAGTTCATAGGATCTTTTTCTAAATATTTACATGGTACAACTCTTATTCTACTAGTTCCCTGTGTCTTTTTGAAAGTATTTACATGACATAACATCACCTCTTACTAATTTTCATAGACTTTTTCTAGACATTTGACTGGCATAGTATAATTTTTTCTATGCATTTCTGTGGCACAATTTGACATCACATTAATTTTCAAAACATTTTTCTTAACATCTATGATGTATAATATCTCACATCTTAGTAATTTCTAGGTTCTTTCCCACATACTTGCCAAGTACATAGTCTCACATCTTTTACTTTTTCAAGGTCTTATTCATTTTTTAAGGAGTTTTCTAGAAATTTCCTAGTATGTATCAAGGCATAAGAGTAAAGAGAACATTTTATTCATCAAACACATGTAGTTTGTTTGTTTTGAATTTCATACAAAATTACAATATTTGTGCTAGCCATCCCTAATTTAGCAATGTAAGACTAGAGGAAATGCAGCTAGTCATCACCACCCACTGCCAACTCTTTTACCAACAAATAGTGAGATTGACCGTCACATTATAATGTCCCCACGGCTGAAAAGGCGAGCATGTTTGGTGGGACGGGGATTCGAACCCGCGACCCATAGATTGGGAGTAGAGTGCCCTAACCACCTGGCCATGCTGGGCCACAAACACATGTAGCACCGATATATTGGACAATCTAATTTTTAACTATTTATATATATATATATATATATATATATATATATATAAAACAAACACACTAAAATTATACCATGAGTAAAACTTGGTGAGAATAACTAGTATCATAAGTAGGCTATAAAAATTAACTTACAACATAAATGTAATTTTTGTGGTGAATCTGGTGTTATGACATAGGTTTTTTCCAATTTTTTCCACAATAAAACTTTACTTCTGATAGTTCTGCATAGAATCATATAAATTAAATATTAATAGTAAAAGTGTATCTTTTTCATATCTACAGTTTCATTATTTGTGGGTTTCAATAATACAACTAGTCTTCATTGCATCACATGGATAACTCATATGAAATAAAGTATTCACATTCCCATGTATAGTCTAAACCACTCGAGTTACACATTACATTCAAATAGAAAGACTTTATACACTTGTATCTGTTCATAATGGTGCTGAAACAAATATCTGTAGTGAAGGTGCTGAAAACCATTGAACAAAATCAAAACCTCAGTACGTAATGGAAACCATGCATGCGCAGTACCTCCATATGTCAAGCCAGAAGGTGCTACTGTACCCTCAACACTTCTAGTTCCCAAGCCCTTGCTTGTTCATACTGGAATGGATAAGAGTGAGCAAAATGCTTAATATAACCTATGTATTCAAAATAGTCAGACTTCTCAAGCATTTATGTGATGTTTCTAGTTCTGGAAATATGGAAATCAGAAATATTAACTCTGAAAACTAGATGTTCAAGTTTTACTTTATTAACTGCAAACTGGCTTGCTGTAGCCAATAGCTAAAATTATTTAAAGGCTTTGTTGGACACACTGAGGATGACAAATCTTGAAAGTTTCATTCTAGCTATGTTAATACAGTATATTTCTGGAGGTTGTTGGTTCTCATTCTCTTAGTGTCTTCCTACTGTTCAACTTCTACTTAATAATTTAGGCTACAATATAGAAATGGCACATGCATGTCACAAAATCCCCACCCCCCTCTGGTGTGACAATTTTTGCTTTTAATCTTCAAGTAAAAAATTTTTATTGAGAATGGTACATAATCCAAGACATTTTCACCAGGCTCAGTTTAGCTAAATGAAACAAAATGATACTGTATCACTGACACAACCATAATGTTTACTGCTAATCCTTGTAACTTACCGTTTTTAATAATTTTAAATACATGAATTCATGAACACTGTCTCTTAATTACGTTTTCTCAAGTTATATTTTTATATTGCACTTTTATTTTTAAATAGGTGACCATATCTTAACACTCACACATAGTCTTAAGTTACAGGCGTGGGGAACTTACCTCATGATTAATAAATTCTACGTATTTCTATGAATCTCTGAAAGTGAGGCCTATATTATATAGCACACACTGATACAGTCACAAGTCCTCCGATATTTTTGGGAGTTCAGTTTTGGCGTTTCTACCGTACCACTACCAATGAATTGTACCTGAATTAAGGTAGAAAAAAACTAATCAGTGAAGTACAATTTATTACAAACATTCACAATAAATATTTGTAAAAGTTAGTATACATCAATGTTAATTTTACTGATACAACAAGAACTTAATATTTTAACAGCTCATATAAATTTTATTCGAAAAGTACAACGACGTATGATACATTTACCCCACGTTTAATAAAGCCAAGCTCTTCCCTAGTCTGACAACAATAGTTTGCCTCCCAGAAGGCGGGGTCTAATCGATATCAATGCTGTCACCACGTGGGAAGCAAGCATAAAGATATTACTGTGGTAATGGGCTTCTCAAGTAAATAGGGGTTAACAAACAATCTGAGCAGCAAAAAAAAATATTTTTAGGCTCTACCATAATTTTTTTGAAACGTTCTTTCTTTCCTTTTTGTCTTTCAAAATTACTTGATACTATTTTTTCTTTCGCATCAGTATTTTAAAGGTCAATTAAATTTAATATGTGTGTGTGTATATTTTGTTTTTATTTATTTTTTGTTGAATTTTCGCACAAAGTTACTTGAGGAATATCTGCACTAGCCATCCCTAATTTTGAAGTGATAAACTGGAGGGGAGGCAACTACTAGAAAACAACGTCCACCGCCAGCTCCTGCGCTACTCTTTTTTAACGACCATAATAGGGCAAGAATGTTTCGGCGACGAGTTACAATCCCACAACTCTGGACCCCCCTAATCACCAGAACATGCCAGGGTGCATATATGATATATAGCCATTCAAACAATAATATGAAATTATGAGATAGCAGGAAATACAAAAAAATTTAGAAATAAAGAATGTACTTTTAGTTCTAAAACCCAATCACATTATTATTTCTATAACAAAATATATATATTTTTAGACACTGTTTGAAATTTCATGTTGGAATTAAACCCTGACATGTTCAAAATACTGTTACGTCTCCGTTTGT